ATCCAAGAAGCAAAGTAATATAACTTTATTATTTATTTAATTGACAGAATTGCTTTGAATAAATTTTTACAATTTATAGAACAAGAAACAAAAGTACTAAAGACGAACTATTAATAGCCAAAATATAGTAGAATATATGAATATATAGATATTGATAAATATAAATTTAAGTACGGTCAGCTCTTTAAGCCATATAGTAAGCTAACTGTAAAAACTTAACATATACGAGTTTAAAAGATTTTAAGTAACTCCAATGCTAATGCCATCTCGGGGCTTCTTTCGCTCTGAACTGGTCTCATCTCTTCACTGATACATGGTACGAATCACGCAAAAGAACCTGTAGGTCATTTGCAGGAACTGCAAATAAATAAAGGAAGTCAATCAATATTGGATGCAATGAGAACTCCTTGTGATTCCCACACCATTGTCATAGTAGGCATTGAAACATCTAGAAACACAGTGGCCCTGAGGCAAACGGGTCGCTGGGCGCGTTGAGCAACGATGATGAGCATCTTATTGAATCGCTTATCAGCGTCTGGCCAGTTCATATTGTAGACAGCATCGGAGACAGAGAAGCTCTGCAATTGCAAAATATATGTAGAACTATTCAATGATACAAAATCTACAATATTATATGTGACAATATAAAATTAAATGTAGTATAAGGGTATCTGTGAATTAGTGGAACTTACGGCATTTACAAGCTCATCGCTAAAGTAGCATATCAAATAGATTTCGGCCATTTCGGCCACCAAGAGAACAGCCAGCTTGCAGACGACATCGAGACTCAGTCCGATGGTCATTTGAAAGCCCACAAAGCAGACCATCAGCGAGGAGGACATGAAGTTAAGCAGCAGTGGCAAGCCAAACACCCGATTGATGACCTCGGTCAAGCTGCGAGAGAATAAATCAAGGAGTGGGTGGCTACGCCTTGACAACGACAGCAACTCACCCTAGCAGCTGGTTGTGGTAGGCGATCAGCTGCTGCAGCACCTTGAGATCCTTCTGGTAGCCATCCTTGACGCGTCCTGCCTGGATGAGCAGCTCCGTGAGCCTCCTCGACAAGTAGTCATAGTGCATGATGGTCTGAATGAGCACTGCAAAGATGAGTATGTCGCTCGAGGCATGGCCCGCCGTGCACGTGTAGCCAGCCAGGGACTGCAGCAAATACATCAGGCAGAAGCCCCAAATGTTGTGCACGCCCCAGGGCGACACTGATGTGTAGGGCATGGCCATGGAAGCGCCGGGCACCTCCTGCACATAGCGCTTGACCAGAAACTGAATAATCACAAACAGATTGTAGGTGGCGATGAGCAGCAGGTAGAGGCCGGCGAAGCCCTTGGTGAACATGCGACCTCGGCGCAGATAGCGCTCCACCTGATATTGTCGCTGGCTCTCGGCATCAGTCGAGGGAAAGATGCGCTCCATTTCGATCATCAGATCATTCAATTGGTCTCTCCGCAGCCACACAGTCACCATCTTCAGTTCGCCCACGATCACGAACACAATGTAGCCCATTACCATGCAGGACTCGACGAAGTTATCGTTGTTCTTGAACGAGATGTACACGAAGGCGCACTCCAATCCAAGCACAAAGTTCAGATTGACCACTTGAAAGAGGAAAATAGTCAAGAGCCAGCGAGTCGATAATCCCGTCCTGGTGGCCAAATCATACGGATGTATGCCCAGGCTATTGTACAGCACAACTGACAAGCTCATAAAGTCATTGAAAGTAAACCGAGATATTGGCTCTGCTGTCATTGTGATCGAATTTGTGTGAGATGAGCTGATTAAAGATTCCCTAGATAGATATTATTCTAAAGAAAATTAATATTATTGCTTCTATTAGTCTTTTATTTTTTCTTATGGTTGAGGAACTTTACATTTGTAGAATGTTGGGTAATTGAATTCCTAGACTTATACATATTTATATGTATATGTCTGCTAACTCTATAGAGATCATGCAGGCGCTTTTCAAAAGTTCCCTTCATGTTATCGTTCTTCAATTAATTTAATAAACATTTCTCAAGCTCGCGAATATTTTAAGCAAATTTTTTTATTCATGAAATTAATTTTAAAATTAAGAAATTCTTATTAAAAAGTTTGCCCCTTTTGTTATATTTCTTATATGAAAATACCTAACCGAGTTCGAGTTTGAAATTTTACCGGTTTGCTGGGCTTGGGTAATCCCTACTCTACCAGTTTCATCTCTTCAGAAGGATAATATGTAATATGTACATATAAAATAATTATAACTTTTAGTAAATAAGAAGGAAGATTTTTGAACATCAAACAAATCTGGGTTGAAGTTAGTTATTTAAATAATAAAAAAAATATATATATAAATATATATATAGAACGTAAACAATTAAAATCAATCATATTCGTTAAACAAAATTTTAATTTAATTTTGCTTGTTGAAAAATTCGACATATTCTGCAATATGAATCAAGCAAACTGAAAATCTTTTACAGGATTTTTAGTTGTTAAATATTTATCTGCTTGTAGTTAGAGATTTTAATTAATATCAGATACAACAGATATATTTTAGTTAATATCAGATTTACTCATCGACTAAGTTTAGTACAAAGAGCACCTTTTTTCTCGTGTTTGCTGAGCACCTGTGTCAATTGAAGACTAAACCCAAAATGCATTTGATTGGAGCTGTTGGGCCCAGAGCAATACTAGTTCCTGTTATAATGGACTTTTAATTGCTTAGTTAGCGCGTAACATGTGAACCAACTGGAGAATTCCGAAAGGCAATTATATATGAAAAGAGACAACGAAATTCAAAAATTACCTAATGGGACTCTTGGTTGATAAATGTCTATACAATTTTAAATATACCACTCCATATAAAATTTATATGTTCAACAAAATTTTGAAAAATATTTAAAGGGAAAAAAATTGTTTAGGAAATCTATATTTTTATTCTTATATAAATATATAAATATATTGCAGTTAAATATAACAAATATAAAATACTAAAATTGATATATTTGTATATATTTTTTATTTTATATATTTATAATAATTATAAAATATATCATATATTAAATATTTTATAAATTAGACATAAAATAGGAACAATATTTTTTTTTTAAATATATATATTTTTAAATTAATTAATTCAAATAATCAAAGAAATTATGCTTTTGTGTTATTGTTATTATTATTATTATATACATACATATGTACAATTTTTGCTGAATATACATATCTCTCAGATAACGATATTATTAAGCCCCTGAAAATATATCACATATCGAATTAATACCAATTGCATTACACAATTTTGTCCCTGCCTGCCTTTGGCTGACTCTATAAGTTTATAAATTAACCATCACAGCCTACAAACCGATATACTATAAATTTATTTTTAGCAGTTCTTTTACCAATGGAATATCTGTTCATTGCAGGGCTTTGCCATTCTCTTCTGCTTCGTGCTCAAGGCGGAGAGTCAACTGCGTGGACCGCCATTCCTGAGCAGCAACGGCAGCAGCCAGAGCAGCTCGCTGAAGCAGACCAAGTTCAACACGAGCAAGACCAGCCTGGACGACAACTACTGCACGACGACGACGGCCAGCATAAATAGTCCACTGAGCTGTAAGTAGCCAAGGCGCCATCGAGGGTCGCGTGTCGCGTGTCGAATGAGACGAGCTCTCGATTCTCAAGTGACTCAACCGACTCAACTGACGCAACCCACATTTGTCCAATCATTCGCAGTCTATATGAACCATGACAAGGAGAAGGAGAGCGAGTGCCTGGCCCCATCAGCAGCAGCAGCAGCAGCAGGAGGAGGCACAGCAGCCGTAGTCATCGCAGCTGGGCCGAGCGGAGCGGGCGCCGCGCCGCTGCAACAGAAGCAGGGCCTGGAGCTGTCAACGACAGCCGCCGGGGCTGTGCAGCTGCCGTTGACAATCATCTCGACGGCGCCGCGCTGCCAGGCGGCCATTGTAAGCAGCACGGCAGAGACGCTGCTCGGCGGGCATCAGCAGCTGCCGCTGACGGTGGCCGCCTCGCCAGCCACGCGCTGCTGTGCTCTGCTAGGGGGCGGCGGCGGAGCTGGCGCTGGCATTGAGGCGCCCAGTGGGCTGGGCTATGCGTACGACGCCTACACAATGGGCGGCCTCACGGGCAGCCTGGGCAGGCGCATGCTGCACCACCATCAGCCACACTATGCCACGGGGCCATGCGACGAATTCGTGGGCGTCGAGACGCTGGACATACTACAGGGATTGGCAGCAGGTAAGTGTGGGCGTGACTGGGGCGCGACTCTTTGCCATGACTAACCGCATCGCGCACTTGCAGACAGCATCATTGGCATACACACGGCCACGCCCCCTCAGTATGTGCCGCTGCAGCACAATCCGTACGTGGACTTTGTGCCCAGCCCCCTGCTGCTCAGCATGCAGGCGGGGCCCGGGCCGGGGCCACCCACCATCAGCGGGAATCTGAGTGGAGCCGGCGCCCTCCTGTCCAGCAGCACGCTGCCCACGCCCAAGACGCAGAAGCGCGTGACCATACTGGAGCCAACGTCGCGCACCACCTTCGATCCCATGCTGCCCACCATGGTGGCCGCGGTGGTGTCCACCACAACCACCACGGCCACCAGCACAGTATCCGTGACGCCGTCCACGCAGACCGCCGGAGTGGACAGCAGCAGCAAGGGCTCGGCCGGCGATGCGACTCTGGATCGCATCAGCCACGATCTGGACTACTTGCTGAACCGGGGCTGCCTGGATGCGGATGCGGCAACGCCGCCACCACCGCCGCCGCCCGCCGTGGTGGTCAAGAAGTGCGACGAGGCGCAGCAGAGCAGCCAGCTGTAAGGGCGCCCCGTAAACCCATCAGTGTAAATAGAGTAGTCGAACGAACTGTAAATAGCCAACTATTAGTGCTTAAATGGATAGCTCTAATTTATTTATTTCATAATTAGTTTCTTTAGTTCTGCAAAGGATATATGTATATGTATATGTATAAGAATGCCATCAGAACAAAAATCAAATCGAATCAACTCTGTAAAATGACATTCAAATCAATCTTCAAATCATCTAAATGAATTTAAATCAAATAAAAAACCAAAAATAAAAAACATTTTTAGCTAGATTTACAAAATGAAAACAAAAGCAACTTGCAACAAAGATAAACAAAAATTGATAAAAATTAACCGATTATGGTAATATTAATAAGTAAGCCTAGGCTAAATCGAGGTGGGCACAGCTGTGCTTCGGATTTTTGATTCCATTTAACATTTTCCTAGACCTTAAAAACAAAAAACAAAACCAAAAATAAACTCTACAAACTACAATAATTGTATAACTAAAATCAAATATTACAGAACTATTTCTGCAACAACAAATTATACATACACACACATATATATATATA